TGTTGAAATTTTTCTTTGTTGCGTGTCGCTTCGCATTGAATTTTCGTCGATGTTAAGCCTAATGTATACTTTTTAAAATAATAATCGTGGCTATTGTATCATTAAAAATTATTTCTTTATTTCTTACAAACAAAATAAATATATTGAAAAATATAAAAACCAAAAAATATATACTTTAGAAGATGATCTAGTATCAAAAACGTTCAATTCAGCACGACACACAGTCCTCAGAAAAACACCACACAAAAGTGTCAGTGCTGCCAGTTAAAAAACACACACCAACAAAAAAAAAGTATTGGAGTAGCCCAAGATATAGCCTAAGATTGCAGCGCCACAGCACTAGTGAAAATTTAAATTTGCCAACCAGAATGCTTTCAGATAACTGACGCTCTCTGTAGTTAAATTGTTAGTTTTAATGAATATTAGCACATTCTGAATCATTAAAAATAAACTTTTTCCAGTCATTTGCATTATAATGTTTTGGTTTTATTTTCCATTTATCATTTATTAAGGCAAACATGGTTGTTTGCCTTAATAAATGCATTTGATAATATTTTATTTATGATTAAACAAAATAAAATTAGAATTATATTAATAAATTTAATTTTCTTTATTTTGATCTCTAAAGTCACATCTTGTTCTATATCCAAGATTGTCTTATACATGAGTAAATATAGTAATTTAAATAGCAATATCATGATTTGTATCATGACATGAGCTGATCTTGAGGCCACTAACTTGTGAATCAGTAGTCCTGTCATTGATTGGTCAGGCCACCAACTTTCTTTAACATAGGAAGTGTAGGAAGATTGAATATTTTGGTTACATTTTTTTTTATTTGTTTATTTTATATATCATTTTATTTTGAAATATATGAATTATTTAGATTATAAAGATAAGAATGATTATATTAGTTAAATAGAATTTTAAAATACAAGTATCCTTTGTACAACACTGTACTTCTACACACAGTTTTGCTCTAGCATGGTTTGAAAATTGGGAATATCCCATGTACAATATGACTTTTGGTTTCACTCTAATGCAGTTTTGGAAATCCTCCATACAAAATTTCACAATTTTTAAGTGTAAACTTTGTTATTCAATATTTTTTTTATTCAAGTAAATGTGTGTTGTTTCAAATTTTCCCACAGATTTTAACGTATTGAAATTTTTAAATTATTTTGTGCTTTACATCAGGTTTACTTTAATGAAAACTGATAGTGCAATTTTTTTCTTCTTTGTTCTAACTTTCCTATTAACCAGGTTTTGTTGTCATTACTTTCAGACTTTAGTCCTTAAGACTGATGCCATGCTTTCTTTTTATAGATTAATCTTTGTATTTAGTAAAGTTTATTTAAATATTATTAGGTAAGTGTTGTTAAACTTTTTTTTAATTGTAGGTAAGTAATCGTTTGTAAAAATGATGAACAAAATACTACAGTATCTCAATACTTGAACAATTCTGTATTCAAACACAAATTCTGGAAAAAAGTCACTAAGTACTTGACTGAACAAACACAACCTGCTAGAACAAATTTTTAATTAATAACATATTTTTACCTTGTCATCCATAAAAAACTTTTATGATAAAAATAAAAAATGTGAAAATGTTGCTGATACTTTGTAAAAAGAAAATGCCCTCGTTTAACTAAAATTAATATTAATGCGTAATACAGTACTTTTAATTGTGATTGTTAATTAATTGTTGATTGGAAATAAACTATCAATTGCTTTAATAAACATATTTCTCTTAGTAACGAAAAAAGAATAGTATACAAGGTCTGTTCAAAAAGTATCGGACCTTATTTTTTTCCGCGTAAACCAATGATGCGAGAGAGGCCTCCTTCGGTGGAGTTGTGGAGGGGACAGTCATGCACAGCCCTGAATTTTTTCCCGCCTGCAGAAAGCGTCAGTCGTTGGCAATCGGCGTATGAGTGAGGTCATGTAGTGCGCTCTCGTCGGATTTCACTAAGCTGGAAAATGACTGAACAACGTGAGCAGCGATATTACATCAAATTTTGCCAAAAACCTTGGCGATACCCGAGTGTAAACCATTCGCAAGATTCAGCAGGCTTTCGGGGACGATCCTCGAGGCCAAAAAAAGCGCGGCAGGTCCGCAGCAATATCAAAGGTCATGTTGACAGTTTTTTCGACTCTCGTGGGGTGGTGTGTCGTGAGTACGCACCACAAGGCCAAACCATCGCAAAGGAGTACTACCAGGAGGTCCTTCGTCGTCTTTCCGATACAGTGCGACGCAAACGACCGGATCTGTGGTCGATCAAAACTTGGCAGCTCCATCGTGATAACGCATCCGCCCATTCTGCGCATCTGATTCGGGCTTTCGTCGCCAAACACAATACTCCTGTGGTTCGTCACGCTCCGTACTCTCTCCACATGGCTCCGTGTGACCTTTGGCTATTTCTCAAGCTGAAAATGCCGCTAAAAGGAACCCAAATTTAGTCGAGAGAAGACATCATGCGAAATGCGACGGACCGGCTGATAACCATTCCAAAAGATGCGTTCCAGCAGTGTTTCCAGCAATGGCAGGAACGCTGGGAGAAGTGTATACATTACCAAGGAGACTACTTTGAAGGGGATTAGGGTTTTGTACCTCAAAGTCAATAAATTTATTTTTGCCGACCAAAGGTCCGATACTTTTTGAACAGACCTTGTACTTCTGCTACCTTCTGGAACTTAACCCCATGTTTTATATAGCTTAGATTCACATAATATGTCACTTGTTCAGAATGTAACTACCATGTTATAAGAGGGATACCTATATATATTAATTAATTTGTAATAAAATATAAAAATATAAAATTTGAATAAAAATCAAAATAATTTTGTTTTACTTTGTTAAAATTATTGAAATTTCATTAATAATACCATGTCATACAAGTTTTGAAATTATTATTATTATTATTATTAGGATCCTAACTGGTATCGAGCTCGTCATATAGATGGTCGAGAGGGTCTTATACCTACTAATTATATCCATCGTCGCTCTGAAGTAAAACTAAATGCAATGCCGTAAGTTAAATATCATTTTAAATTTGAAATAGATGAGTTTAAATAATTTGATTTTATATAAATATTATATGTATAAATAAAACCTCTCAAAAATTGTTGCCTGTAGTACTGAAACAGTGCATTAAACAGAAAAATATTATTAATGCAAAGTTTTCCTCTGTGTCCTTTATCCTGTTAGTATGTAATATATATAACCATTACATAATGATTGAATAAAGGACACAAAAAAAAACTTTTCACTAATAACATTTTTCGGTTTAATGCATTGTTGCAGTACTACAGTAACAATTTTTGGGAGGTAATACAAGGTATTCAAACATTTTTGTTACTATATAGAAAAAATTTGCAATAAATGTACAAATGATTGTCCTGATTCTACACATAGTTAGCATCTGTTGGTCATTGATTGTTGAACACAGTTGAAAACTAATGGGTTATCTTTAGTTATACCTGCAAACTTCAGTAATGGAGGCTATTAGTTCTTCCTTTGTTTCAATAGGATTCTCATAAACCATATACTCCAGATATCCGAAAGGAAAATTCAAATGATAGGTTTGACAATCAGGGAGATCATATGAGGCCATCTCAACCAATCTATCTCTGATAAAAATGTTTGATGTAAAAAATTCTTTACATTAATACTAAAGTGAGTCAGTCCCCATTATGTTGGAACCACATCTATCTTTTGTTGCAAGTGGTACATCCTCCAAAAGTTCCTGGCAAACTTTCCTTCTTAAGTTCTGTGTGTGGTAAAATGTAAGGTTCAATGAGAAAATTATTGATGATTCCTGCTCAAATATTCACTTTGAATTGGTGTTGATAGGATCAGATAGATGTTGTATGGTGATTTACATCCACTTACACATGACAGTTGTAAGAATTGAATAATTCTACTTGCATAAACATTGTTTTATCAATAAATAATACTTACCAGATAAAAATTAAGATCACTGTCTATTAGTGTTAATAAACTTTAATGATTAAAACATAAAAAATTATGCAAGTACTTTTGACATTTATGGAATGTCATTTTCAGGTGAAAAGAAACGAATTTTGATATAAAATCTTAAATTTGTTTTTTTTTTTTAATTAGTAGAAGTCTTTGTTGTATAGATTCAAAAAATAATGACTAACAAATACTTGTGAAAGAATATTAATTACTTAAGTTTCATGTGAATAATGATTAATTACAATTCAGAGTTATCCTTAGAAATGTTTTACCAGCTGGTTGGAGTCAAGATATAAAATTAGTAAATAATTACAGATGCAAACATTCAAAAGGATAAACAGAGCTGTATCCAAATAGTTTATAAGTATTTAATGTTGCATTGGTTGATTGACCTGCAGTGAAAAAGATAAAGAACTTAGAAAAATTATTTTTTAAAACAAAACATAAAATTAAGATTTAAAACTCATGAAGCTAATTTGACAAGTTTTAAATTCTAACAATGGAAGAGTGTAATTGTTAAGAGTCAGATTTATAATTGTTTAAAATTGTAATACAGTAGAGCATAGATTATCTGACTCAATTGGGGACTCAGGCTGATCGGATAACTGAAAAAATCGGATAACCACAAAGAATTAAAAAAATACATTATTAGTATATCCCATGTAATTAGTATATTAATATATCGTTAACCTACTTCGCGTTAAATTTTCATTGATGTTAAACCTAACAAAATTTTTTTAAAATAATAATCGTCGCTATTGTATTGTTAAAAATTATTTTTAAATTATTTTATTGCTCACAAGACAAACAACCACTCATAATTAGAAAATTAAGTCTCCTTTAAATACTGGCCTCCCTTTCATGGTCGAGCCAGTGTTGCCAGCTAAAACATGCAAAAATTTAACAAAAATAATATTAAAATAGCCAAGACATAGCCAAATATTGTAGCACCACATCACTAGCGGACATTTGAAATTTGCCAACTAGAACGGTCGATTAACCAATGTGACGGTTAATCAGGGGTCGGATAATTGATGCTCTACTGTATATGCACATACATATGCATGTAAAAATGCAAGATGTATGCACCACTGTACGCAGGTTATTACAATTTGTACTCATAATAAAAATTTCAAATTGTTGCTTGCAGCTAACAAATTAATTTTCTTTAAATTTAATAAATATCATTACATGAAGTATAAATAAACTTATAAGATATTTTAATTGTTTTTAATTAACATTTGTTTTTACTTAAATCTTTATTTTAGATGGTTTCATGGAAAGATTACAAGAGAAGATGCAGAAGTTTTACTTAAACCAAGAGAAGATGGGTTATTTTTAGTTAGAGAGAGTACAAACTTTCCAGGCGATTATACATTGTGTGTATGTTTTAAAGATAAAGTGGAACATTATAGAGTCATTTATAAAGATAATAAACTGACAATTGATGAAGAAGAATTTTTTGAAAATTTATCTCAATTGGTTGAGGTAATGAATTTATTAAATTTTATTATAAAACTAATCTTTCCATTTAAATATTAAGTTTATTATTAAATAGCATTATCAAAAAGATGCTGATGGATTATGTACAAAATTAAAAGAATCTGTACCAAAGAAAGGAGGTCTAGAATTTTCAGTTGATTCTCATGCATTTGAAGTGGCTGGTTGGGTGATAAAAATGCAAGATCTTAAATTAGGAGAGGTCCTTGGCAAAGGAGAATTTGGAGGCAAGTTATATTTTATAATATAGATAATATTTTTAATTTGGAGATCTTCTTGTGATATCTTTTTCATTAGTAATTATTGTACATTTAGTCCTGTATTTCTAGAATACTAAAATGAAGGTTAAAATAATGGAAGTGTCTGTAATTGTTAAGAGCCAGATTTATAAGTGTTTAAAATTGTAATAGATACACATACATATGCATGTAAAAATGCAAGATGTATGCACCACTATATGCAGGTTGAAATGCATACATTACTTCTGTCTGCAAGCAAATCTTTGTCACATTTTTTGGTGGGAGGGAATAAAAATGTGACAATGGGTGACACAAGGGATTTAAAAATTATGACAAAACACATATTAGAATGTTTAATGTAGGAGGGGTGCAATCAAGTCAATTATAAATAAAATTACATGTTCAATAAAATTTATTTCTAAGCTATCTAATAATTATTGAACTTATTTTTATATATGCAATTACAGTGGTGCCTTGTATGTTGAATTTAATTTATTCCAGGAGAAACTCCTGAACTTTGAACATGTCAAATGTGGTTTAAAATGTTCCGTTTAGGAAATTTTGAACTAAATGTAGGGATACCCAAAAGCTGTGGAAAAAAAATTTCAGGAGACATTGTTAAAAATCAATGAATAACACACAATAAAGTAAATAGAACCAAACGCACCAAAAATAAAGCAAAAAAAGCATTGAAAACATAAAAGAATAATGAAAGAGAGAAAGCAAGAGATGACTTGGACACAACAGATTGCATTTATGTTTCAAGTACATTTTCTCACTGCACACACACTTTAAATTTCAAAGCATCATTTAAACTCTGAAGTGAATTTTTGTCAAATTTTGCATTCAAAGTAAGATTCATTTGAATTAAAATGTACCACTGTATTTACAAGATGCTTGAGGATGACTGGATTCTTAATAACCTAGTTCTCCTTGTTCTATAGGGGTTTAAAATACTGTAGAGCATCGTTTATCCGAAACATCAGTTAACCGAAAGCATTCCAGTCAGCAAATTTAAATTTTCACTAGTGCTGTGGCACTGCAATCTTTGGCTATATCTTGGGTTACTCCAATATTTTTTTTATTGGTGTGTGTGTGTGTTTTAGCTGGCAGCACTGGCACATTTGTGTAGTGTTTTTCTGAGGACTGTGGGTCATGCTGAATCGAATGTTTTTGATACTAGATTAACTTTTAAAGTATAATTTTTACTGTTTTTATAATTTTCAATATATTTATTTTGTTTGTAAAAAATAAAGAAATAATTTTTAACAATACAGTAGCCATGATTATTATTTTAAAGAGTATACGTTAGGCTTAACATCGATGAAAATTCAACATGAAGCGACACGCAATGGAGAAAAATTTCAACACGGGATAGGTTAATATATTTTTTTCGTACATAATCGGTTACCGGAAAAATAAGTTATCCGAACAACCTCAATCTCCAATTGATTCAGATAAACGCCGCTCTACTGTAGTTGTATTCAGTGATACTGCATACTTCAAATGTTTCGGAGTTCTAATGATAGATTTTATAGAAATTCAACTCAGTGTTTGAATTATGTTTCTATGTTCAAACTATGTGAATTCTTCAATTCTTTCATCTTCTGCTTTCCAGTTGACTGTCCATTTGCTTTGGTTCCTAGACAAAGAATGTCCTTTTTCTCTTCTGTGTAATCCTGGGAGCCGTTATTCTTCATGAGTCATTTTCCCACGAGGATAACTCTTTTGTTCTCTAGCGTCTTTTAACTCAGGGTGAAACAGGTAGTTACATATCTCCATTTACTCTTTTACTCCCCCCCTTCTATGATAGACAAAGGGGGTAGTATTGTTGCAGTTTTGAAATATGGTATATGTCGGAATCTTTATTTCTTTTCCCATGTTTTACTACATAGGAAAAATTTGACAGTTTTTTTTCCCCCCTATCTTGTACAGTCCTATCATAATTGGATAAAATTTCCATCTGTTGATTTCATTTTTGTTTTTGATAAGGACTATGTCTCCTTCTTTGAATGTATGGTGGTGTTTAGAGCCATTTTCCTTGCAGTTTCCAAGTTGGAGAAAGTCTTTTTGATCAAATGGTTAAACAGTGGTATGCCATACATTAGGAAATTGGGACTGAATTTTGTTACATCATGAAGAGCGTTGTTATTTTCTTGAATGACTTCATCCAGTAATTTTGACCAACACACGTTCTTGGGATTTTTGTTTATCTTACATCATAGTCTTGTACACAGAGTTTGATTTACTGTTTTGCATAATTTGTTTGATTGTGCTCGATTAACTGTTGTGAACTTTAGTACAATATTTTGTTTATCAAGAAATCTCATATAAATTCTTCTGAATATATTCCAGTATATCTATCTGCAAGAATTAGTTTTGATTTGTTCAAATATTGGATCTTTTGAATTAGATTAACAAAATCCTTGGAAGTTTGTGTGTGTTAACAAGCAGTCCATACATATTGAGTGAAATGATCTACAGTGATTTGTAGGTATTGTTTTTTAGAATTGTATTCTTGAAATCCTCCTATTGTATTGATTGCAATAATTTTGAAAGGGTCATTTGCCAGACCATGCTACAATAGTTCTCTCAGCTTTAATGTTCGATTAATTTTGTTCTTGCACCATTTTATCATATTATCTTAGGCCAGTAGTAGCTGAAAGATATTATGGATAGCAGTTTTTTTGTCCCTATGTGACCAAACTTAGTGACTTTGTTCAAGTAATTTGAGCCTTAAGTTCTCTGGTGTGTAGATTTTAGAAATTTTGTTTTTATCTAAACATTCATACCATTCTTACTTGTATATCCTTTTGGTAATAAATTAGGAGATTGTTGAAATTGAGATTGAAAAACAATCTTGTTTGGGACTGAACAATTTCTTATTTTTCTAATAAATTGATTGTTTTTAAATGCTCTCTATTACCATTGGGTTCTAGACTTGGATTATAGGATAGGCAGTCTGCTTTACCATTCTCTTTCTTCCTGCTTGATATTTTATCCCAAAATCATATTCACTGAGCTTTAGTGACCATTTCAACAGTCTACAATTCAGTTTTTTGATAGATTTGAGCCACTTTATTGCCTAATGGTCTGTTATTACAGTGAACTTGTTACCAAATATATAATGGTGTGAATATTTGATTGCCTCTACAATCGCCAAACATTCTAGCTCTATGATGTGATAGTTGGTTTGATAGGACAATAATTTTCTAGAAAAATATCCTATGGGGTGGAATTTTTGATCATTTTGTTTTTGTTTTAATAGTCCTCTATTCCCACTTTATTTGCATCAGTGTAAAGAATGCACTCTTTTCTTGGGTTGAATATTGCAAATATTGGACCAGCTTTTAAATGTTTTTTGACAGTTTCAAATAAATTTTGACAATTTTCTGTCCATCTAAATTCCAAATTTTTCTTAAGCAGTGTTGATGTAGTGGAGATGACAACTTCAATGCATTGGGAATGAATTTGTAATAGTAATCTATTAATTATTTGCTTTGGTTCCTAGACCAAGAATGTCCTTTTTCTCTTCTGTGTAATTGGGGGTGCTCTCATTCTTCTATTTTCCCATGAGGACGACCCTTTTGTTCTGCAACATTTTTTGCCCTGGGCTAAAACAAGTGGTTATGTATCTCCATTTACTGTTCTACATGTGCATACATGTGAAAAAATGCTCTCACTGTGTAAATGCCATCTGTTGTGTGCTCAAGTCATCTCTAGCTCTTGCATTATGCTTGTTTTTAGTGATTTTGTTTCTCATTACTTTTGGTGTGTTTGCTTATATGACCTCTTACCTATTAACTGTGGCATCTAGGAAGAGTAAGGAAGCAATAAATCCTAAGATTAATATATCAGAAAATTACATGTATATAATTAGTAAAATCTTAAGAATTCACACCTACTATTTTATTTTAATTACTATAAACAGTGTGACAAGTTTTATAAAACTTTAATTAAATTAACATTTAACATTAAAAGTTAAATTTTACAATTGAACTTTGTTTCAATTTGAATTTTTTGTTGAAATTTTTTTTATTCAATTAATCTTTGAAATGAATATGTATGTGAGAATCCAAGAGTAGAGAGCCATTTATTCGAAAATTTATTCATTTTATTTATCACATTCCCAGATTTTCCCACTTGACCAATAATTTCCAATGTAATATTTTAGCTATAAAATGGACCAAAACTCATTGTTTTGTGTGTGAAAGATTAGAAAATTGTTATCGCACATATTTGACAAACATCTGTTCCTTTCGTCAGATTTATGTCCTGTCAGATGATCAGAATCCTAAAATTGGATTGATGGAAAGTTTAGGATAAAAAGGAAGAGCTTGCTGTCATTTCTAAAATATCATCATTTGTAAAACTTCAATGAACCATGGCTTGGTGCTTAAGATTTATGGCAAATGCAAAATTATCACCTCCTTATAGGACCTAGGGTTATCTTACAACCAAGGAATTAAGAGAAGGATTAATCTGCATCATCAAACATGTCCAAACAATAGGCTTTTCAGAAGAAATAAAGTTCATTCAGTCTGGGAAATCGCTGCCAAAAAATTCCAAAATCAGCAATTTATGTCCATTTTTAGATAATGATAAGATATTAAGAGTTGGAGGCAGATTGCAAAATGCCACCCTCAATTTTTGTAAGATACCTGCTATATATTATTTGATTAAATGTATTTTAACCTATTTTCATTGGAAATATTTACATCTTACCAGACAGGCCTTATTGTATCATATGTTTTGGCCTTTAAATGGAAGATCACTCTGCAGAAAGGTTATTCATGAATGTATTATTTGCTTTAAGGCTAAACCAGTCGTTTATAAGCAACTTTTTTGTAATCTATCTTATGAGAGAGTGAACTAAAATTATGTGTTCAACTGTACAGGAATTGACTTTTGTGAACATTTTATTATAAAATATAAGAATTAAAGAAGGGGTACTTATAATAAAATTTGTGTGTGTATATTCATTTGCT